GAAAAGAAAGAAAAAGAGGGACAACAGACGCATTTGGGACTGCAGAAACGGCTTCAGAGGTATTTTAAACTAATCCAACATGGAATGGATTTTAATGAAGAGATAAAACAAATTAAAACAGAGATGTCGGTTTTAGCAGAAATTAATAGCAAAGGTGTGATTTTAAGAAGCAAGGAAAGGGAAATGAGGAAGGAGAGAAGTGCACAAGATATTTTTTTAAGAAAATCGTAAATAAAGGGGGGGCCATGTTGAGACTTAAAAAAGAAAACGGGTGCACAGCTGACACAACAGAGGAAATCAAAGAAACTGTCGAACATTTTACCGTGAACTGTACGCATACAAAACTGTTAACGGGGACACCATGAACGAAGTTTTAAAATCCATTGACCAAGCAACAAACGACAACGTGCTTTTAACCCAAGATTTTACGATACCGGAATTAAACAAATGCATCAAATCTTTTAAGACAGGGAAGTCGCCGGAGAAGACGGGCTTCCCTTGGAATTTATCTGACATTTTGGGACATTTTAGCACCAGACTTGCTTGCTGTTTTTATGGATTTTGAACAAATGGACCGACTTCCTGACAGCTTTAGAGCAGGGATAGTGACTCTCCTTCACAAAGACAAAGACAAGACGGACTTGAAAAATTGGAGACCTATCACACTCTTAAATTTTGACTGTAAACTTTTTAGTAAACTTTAGCCTCACGCATGTCCTTGTTTTTAGAAGATCTGATTCACCCGGATCAAGCCTGTGCCGTCCCGGGGAGGAAGATCACCGACAGCCTCGTACTGATCCGAGATACCATCTGTTACGCGAGAGACAGAAACATTCGGCTAGTAGTCCTGAATTTAGATTTTGAGAAAGCCTTTGATCGGGTCTCGCACCAGTACCTTTTCCAGGTACTGCAAAAAATGGGGTTCCCGAGAAGGTTTATAGCCTGGGTGGGACTGCTGTACCGGGAGATCAACAGCAAATTCATTGTTAACGGGCATCTGACAAGAGCAGTGGATATAAACTGCGGTGTCCGTCAGGGTTGTCCGTTATCTGCCCTCCTCTACGTTATCTGTATAGAACCACTGGCACAGACCTTGAGAAGGGACCAACGAATCCATGGGGTAGGAGTCCCAGGGAGCGGGGGACTCGAGACAAAATGTATTTTATATATGGACGACATCAACATTTTGCACTGACCTTTTATCTGTCAACAGGACGCTGGACTTGACTGACTGGTTCGGACAGGCCTCTGGGTCAAAGCTGAACAGAAGCAAGACCCAAGCCCATTTTTATGGACCGTGGACAGCGACTGAGACGACAGGACTCCCCTGACTGTGACCCAGACTGACCAAAAAATACTTGGGATCAGGTTTGATAGGGAGGGGGAGGGGAAAACAATTGGGCAGACATAGTAGGGAAAGTCAGGCAGAGACTAGGGTACTGGACACTTAGAGGACTGACTTTAGAAGGAAAGGTTTTAATCATCAAAGCAGTGATTTTACCTTTGCTTTTACTCATCAGTTCTGTTTTTATCCCGCCTAGGAGAGTGATCTTAGACCTGGAACGAGCCATCTTTTATTTTTTGTGGGGCTCCAAGTGGGAAAGACTGAGACGAAGCGTGATGAAGAAGCCAAAGGAGAAAGGAGGAAAGGAGTGCCAGACCTGCACTTGTTCCTAGGAAGCAGATACACAGCACTACACATCGCAACCGCCACAGCCCCATCCAGAAACCCCAAGACCGCAGCAATGACACGGTTCTGGATGGGGTCCTACCTCAGAAAACTTAAGATCTTACCCACAAGTCTCAAAGTACCAGTGTCTTTTAACCTGCCACCAGCCTATGCTTTATCCAGTCATTTTTAAGGCATTTTAACCTTGAGCAGGAGGAGTTGCAGGTTTTAACCACTCACCGCTCTCTCATTTCTGTTGTGCAGGAGCGGGAACCAGTGAGTCCGTGCGCGGGCTTGCATTCGGCGAGCCCTCAACAGTTTGGCGCAACGTGAACCATCCAGCTCTTCCAAACAGACTCCGGGACCTGTCATGGATGGTGGCTCATGAGATCCTCCCAGTCAGGTCCGTAATGCACTCCCGGGGCATGTCGGCGCACTCAACTTGCCCCCGACCAGGTTGTGGCGCGCCTGAGTCGGTAAGGCATCTGCTCTGGGAGTGCAGCGCTGCCGTAGAACAGTGGGCAACGGCCGGCTCCTTGCAATTCCCGTACTTGCCAGCAAGGGAGGTCCTCACACCACAGCTGGTGCTGTACGGGGTGAGCCAAGGAAATCAGATACCAGCACGTACATTTGCCAAACAGTGGCTCACCCTAGCCGCCATCAAAGACGCCATATGGACCTCCAGAAACTTGCTGGCAAGAAAGCACATGCAGATCCCCCCCTGGCTGTGATCCGGATGGCCGCAGCAACGGTCCAAACGGCCAGAGCTGCAGGCGGCGGGCCTAGGACACAGCCACAAAGAATCGCCTCTGTGCCCATTCGGACGGAGGAGCCGGAGCCACACAAGGAAAGTTCAAGGCACGGCGGCCTGACCCTCCGGGTGAGGTTGGTGGGAAGGAGCTACAGGGTGAGGGTCTCCTCTGAGCGCCTGCACAAGATCCCGAGAGTCCAAATCTGTTTGGGGGAGCTGAATGAGTTCCCCTTTGATAGGGACTCACTACACTCCTGCACAACAGTGGACTTGGAGAAGAGCTTTTATTATCCATTTATTTTTTGTGAGTTTTATTTTAACAAATGCACTCCGCTTTGAAGACATTTTAACAGACACTCACAGACATGGACAAGCTGAAAACCATTTTATACCTTTAATTTATGACGTTATCTGTAATGCATTTTAAACACTTTTTTTAAATGTTGTTTTACAGAGAACATTTATCTATTTATTGACATGTTGTATTTTAAAAGGTAACTTGGAATTGACATATTATGAATCATGTTTGAATTGAGTGTCAAAATAAAAAAAAAAAAAAAAATCTGTTCTTATCAGTTTAATATCTGATATGTCCCCTATAAGGGGGCAACATATTAAATGGATTTTTAGCACCGGGAGCTGAGACGAGGGGCTTGCTCCGTCCACTCCACGCATCGACCCGGTATTGCAGTGCCTCCGGGGGCGGTGCACCCTTCTCCTGCCTTGTGTAAAACCAAAATACTGACCCAAACGCAGAGGTTCGTCGCTCTGCCGGACGCCGGCCCGAAAAAGGCGCCAGTCGAGGGGGGGCGGCCAGCTGAAGCCTCGAAGAAGGCAGCGAGATTTGCACTTTATGATTGGCAGACGACGAGGGGATATTTGGGACCGGCATGGCTGTTAAATGTGCCCTGCACTTCCCCTCCCTTTCTCCCACTCGTCATCGAGAGCCCGAGTATTTCGGATGCTCGGTAGCCTGTGTCCAAAAGCCAGGCCTTCATTTCTCCGATTGGATAGAGCCTCTCAGAAGGTGGGGAGGGGACACTGCGGCGCCTCCGTAGGCCCGGCACGGTTGGCCAACACGGTGGAGGAACCGCAGCGTAGAAAGGATACAAGAAACTAAAACACCTCAAATGAAGCAAGAAAACCTGCTACAACTGCTAAATCGGTGAATAAAACACACTTACCTTCTCGTCTTTGGTCTGGTCAAGGTGGCAGTCCGGCAGAGGACAGGTAGGCAGTCCTCGGGACCAATGAATTCCTTGTTGCAAAAGTTTTTCAGCTACGGCAAAGTTGAAATTTTATTCACAAGGAATGAGGTGAATCTCCTCCCAGAAAAGCTGGTGACACAAAACGAAGCCCCAAACCGGCAAAGGTTTTAACCAGAAAGAGGAGGCCATTGCAGTCTTGGCCAAAAGGCCGAGAAGCGATCGGCCACATTTCCCCTCCCTTTCTCTCACTCGTCATCGAGAGGCTACAAGAGCCCGAGTCGTTCGGTAGCCTCTGTCCAAAAGCCAGGCCTTCGTCTCTCCGCAGCCCGATTGGATAGAGCCTGCCATGACCTGGGGAGGGGTAGGGGAACGGGCGTGGCCTGGTACTTGGGACTCGAGAGGCAGAGTGAGGCTTACCGTGAGGGTAGTGGCCGGGACGACTAGGCTCGTCGGCGGCTCTGGAGGAGGGGCCCGTACTTACTCGGGTTTCTCTTCATAACGTACAAGTCTTTCGCCTTTTACTAAAGACTTCCGTGGAGAGGGACGCCAATGAGTTAAAACTATTTTTGGCAGGCTCTGCCGTGTGGCCGAGCCTCGTGCGTTTGTGAAAAGGAAATAAAACGCCGCCCCCGGCAAGGTTGAGCGGTGCGACGAGGCGCGCTCGGGAGGAGGTGCTGAGACTCAGCCGTTGTTATGCGCAGTTGAAACCACTGCGCCACGGCAGGGGAGAACTGCTCCGGGAGGTGGGCGCTGGAAGCAACCAGCGGGGTTATCGCTTCTCGGCCTTTTGGCTAAGATCAAGTGTAGTATCTGTTCTTATCAGTTTAATATCTGATATGTCCCCTATAAGGGGGCAACATATTAAATGGATTTTTAGCACCGGGAGCTGAGACGAGGGGCTTGCTCCGTCCACTCCACGCATCGACCCGGTATTGCAGTGCCTCCGGGGGCGGTGCACCCTTCTCCTGCCTTGTGTAAAACCAAAATACTGACCCAAACGCAGAGGTTCGTCGCTCTGCCGGACGCCGGCCCGAAAAAGGCGCCAGTCGAGGGGGGGCGGCCAGCTGAAGCCTCGAAGAAGGCAGCGAGATTTGCACTTTATGATTGGCAGACGACGAGGGGATATTTGGGACCGGCATGGCTGTTAAATGTGCCCTGCACTTCCCCTCCCTTTCTCCCACTCGTCATCGAGAGCCCGAGTATTTCGGATGCTCGGTAGCCTGTGTCCAAAAGCCAGGCCTTCATTTCTCCGATTGGATAGAGCCTCTCAGAAGGTGGGGAGGGGACACTGCGGCGCCTCCGTAGGCCCGGCACGGTTGGCCAACACGGTGGAGGAACCGCAGCGTAGAAAGGATACAAGAAACTAAAACACCTCAAATGAAGCAAGAAAACCTGCTACAACTGCTAAATCGGTGAATAAAACACACTTACCTTCTCGTCTTTGGTCTGGTCAAGGTGGCAGTCCGGCAGAGGACAGGTAGGCAGTCCTCGGGACCAATGAATTCCTTGTTGCAAAAGTTTTTCAGCTACGGCAAAGTTGAAATTTTATTCACAAGGAATGAGGTGAATCTCCTCCCAGAAAAGCTGGTGACACAAAACGAAGCCCCAAACCGGCAAAGGTTTTAACCAGAAAGAGGAGGCCATTGCAGTCTTGGCCAAAAGGCCGAGAAGCGATCGGCCACATTTCCCCTCCCTTTCTCTCACTCGTCATCGAGAGGCTACAAGAGCCCGAGTCGTTCGGTAGCCTCTGTCCAAAAGCCAGGCCTTCGTCTCTCCGCAGCCCGATTGGATAGAGCCTGCCATGACCTGGGGGGGGTAGGGGAACGGGCGTGGCCTGGTACTTGGGACTCGAGAGGCAGAGTGAGGCTTACCGTGAGGGTAGTGGCCGGGACGACTAGGCTCGTCGGCGGCTCTGGAGGAGGGGCCCGTACTTACTCGGGTTTCTCTTCATAACGTACAAGTCTTTCGCCTTTTACTAAAGACTTCCGTGGAGAGGGACGCCAATGAGTTAAAACTATTTTTGGCAGGCTCTGCCGTGTGGCCGAACCTCGTGCGTTTGTGAAAAGGAAATAAAACGCCGCCCCCGGCAAGTTGAGCGGTGCGACGAGGCGCGCTCGGGAGGAGGTGCTGAGACTCAGCCGTTGTTATGCGCAGTTGAAACCACTGCGCCACGGCAGGGGGAGAACTGCTCCGGGAGGTGGGCGCTGGAAGCAACCAGCGGGGGTTATCGCTTCTCGGCCTTTTGGCTAAGATCAAGTGTAGTATCTGTTCTTATCAGTTTAATATCTGATATGTCCCCTATAAGGGGGCAACATATTAAATGGATTTTTAGCACCGGGAGCTGAGACGAGGGGCTTGCTCCGTCCACTCCACGCATCGACCCGGTATTGCAGTGCCTCCGGGGGCGGTGCACCCTTCTCCTGCCTTGTGTAAAACCAAAATACTGACCCAAACGCAGAGGTTCGTCGCTCTGCCGGACGCCGGCCCGAAAAAGGCGCCAGTCGAGGGGGGGCGGCCAGCTGAAGCCTCGAAGAAGGCAGCGAGATTTGCACTTTATGATTGGCAGACGACGAGGGGATATTTGGGACCGGCATGGCTGTTAAATGTGCCCTGCACTTCCCCTCCCTTTCTCCCACTCGTCATCGAGAGCCCGAGTATTTCGGATGCTCGGTAGCCTGTGTCCAAAAGCCAGGCCTTCATTTCTCCGATTGGATAGAGCCTCTCAGAAGGTGGGGAGGGGACACTGCGGCGCCTCCGTAGGCCCGGCACGGTTGGCCAACACGGTGGAGGAACCGCAGCGTAGAAAGGATACAAGAAACTAAAACACCTCAAATGAAGCAAGAAAACCTGCTACAACTGCTAAATCGGTGAATAAAACACACTTACCTTCTCGTCTTTGGTCTGGTCAAGGTGGCAGTCCGGCAGAGGACAGGTAGGCAGTCCTCGGGACCAATGAATTCCTTGTTGCAAAAGTTTTTCAGCTACGGCAAAGTTGAAATTTTATTCACAAGGAATGAGGTGAATCTCCTCCCAGAAAAGCTGGTGACACAAAACGAAGCCCCAAACCGGCAAAGGTTTTAACCAGAAAGAGGAGGCCATTGCAGTCTTGGCCAAAAGGCCGAGAAGCGATCGGCCACATTTCCCCTCCCTTTCTCTCACTCGTCATCGAGAGGCTACAAGAGCCCGAGTCGTTCGGTAGCCTCTGTCCAAAAGCCAGGCCTTCGTCTCTCCGCAGCCCGATTGGATAGAGCCTGCCATGACCTGGGGAGGGGTAGGGGAACGGGCGTGGCCTGGTACTTGGGACTCGAGAGGCAGAGTGAGGCTTACCGTGAGGGTAGTGGCCGGGACGACTAGGCTCGTCGGCGGCTCTGGAGGAGGGGCCCGTACTTACTCGGGTTTCTCTTCATAACGTACAAGTCTTTCGCCTTTTACTAAAGACTTCCGTGGAGAGGGACGCCAATGAGTTAAAACTATTTTTGGCAGGCTCTGCCGTGTGGCCGAGCCTCGTGCGTTTGTGAAAAGGAAATAAAACGCCGCCCCCGGCAAGGTTGAGCGGTGCGACGAGGCGCGCTCGGGAGGAGGTGCTGAGACTCAGCCGTTGTTATGCGCAGTTGAAACCACTGCGCCACGGCAGGGGGAGAACTGCTCCGGGAGGTGGGCTGGAAGCAACCAGCGGGGGTTATCGCTTCTCGGCCTTTTGGCTAAGATTGAGTAAGAGGAGGATCTGTTGACAGTCTACAATGACATCGTCAGCTAACTCACAGCAGGTGCATGCCGTGCTGAAAAATACGCTTAGGTTTGTGTGGAACAGTACCGACGAGTTAATGGAGAGAAAGATTTTTGGACAAGCCATTCTGTTTGGAGCTCTGTGCCTCAAGATTGACGACCTTCTGTGTCTGCAGAAAAACGCCACGGACAAGTATTACGACGTCACGTTTTACACCGTTACCAAGATGGAGGAGGTGAAAGGATTAGCACTTCGATTGGCAGACGGATTGCTGAAAAACTTCAGGGTGCTCAGCCTGTGTCGTACTGGTGAGCGCATTGTGACTGTGCACATTTACAACCCTTGGGTGTCAGAGGAAGCAACCAGGTATTTTCTTGCCAGGTACGTGACTGTGTTAACAAGTATGGGAGACATTAAGGATGTGCTGGGGATATGGACCGGAAAACGGCAATTCCGGGTCATGCTGAAGGAAGACCCGAATGGTTATGATGGTTTTTGCCATCCCCCCGCTACCTTCACCATTGGCTCCCATAGAGGTTTCCTAGTCTATGGGGGTCAGCCGCTGTACTGCAGGCAATGTGCTTCATATGGACACCTGGCAAGGTCTTGCAGACAGGTGCGGTGCAGAAACTGTGATAGTTTGGGACACACCATGAGAAATTGTGATCAGCCAAAAAAATGTAGTTTATGTGGGCTGGAAGGACATTTATTTGGGCATTGCCCAGAAGTGGGGTCTTCGTATGCACGTGCTGCCAGACGGGAGTCGGTGGCCCCAGGTGCG